GGGGAAAAAAAAAAAAAAAAAAAAAAAAAAAAAAAGAAATAGCAAGCAAATCCATAACGATAATGACAATTTGCACAGACTGCCAGATGGTACAATATATTCCTATTTTTCGTGATGTGCGAATTTTACCTGGGATGTCAACACGTGGTGGTCGCAGGAGCAGTAGCCAGATGGTTCTTCACTAGGTATATCAGATATTGATTCACCAGGCTGAAGATGTCATTAAATGAAATATTAATTGTTGAAATATTTCGCAGAAAAAAGAGTCATCTCTCGCTGGCGGTAACACGTAGCTTCGGCGCATTGATAAGATACCACTTGGGCACCGTGGCATTCGGATCAATGATCATTGGCTTTGTCAGACTCATCAGGGCACTTTTGTCCTTCATTCAGAACAGATTGAAGAGTTACAATAACGATCTGGTGCGTGGGATACTCTGGTGCTGTCAGTGCTGCCTTTGGTGTTTCGAATGCGCCCTCAAGTTCCTCACAAGAAATGCCTACATAGAGACTGGTAAGAATCACGTGCGCAGCATCCCTGATCCATTTTGAATAATCTCTAGCGATACCGAGGTACATAATCCTCTTGTTCGTTGCAGCGATATATGGATGTAGTTTCTGCAGGGGTGGAAAGAAAGCCTTTCAAGCATTGTCAAATAATATTTTGAGGGTGGCTGCCATAAACAGCGTCGGTGATTTCGTTCTGTTCCTGGGAAAAGTATTGGTCGTTGCTCTAACCGTCGTAGCTGGAGTCTTTCTCATTCAGGTATGAGTCCTATTCATCCCCATTTATACGAGGAAACGTAATCACCTCGTTCCGTTTATATTTATCAGAAGAAAGATGGGATACAGCATCCTTGGGTGCCCATTACCCTGGCCGGCATATTCGCACTTCTCGTGAGTCACTGCTTCATTTCCATTTACGAGGTAAGCACTTACGTTCCGTTACGATATACCGGCTGGCATCCGACAGATGAATAATACTTCCTTGCGTTCCACGTAGATGGTCATAGACTCCATATTTATTTGCTTCTGCGAGGATTGCGCGAAAAACGATGGGATCAACAGACCTTACTTCATGAGCAGAGGATTAATGGTGAGTATGGTCTTACGTAAAGATATGAGTAAACCCACTCGAGTTACGCCCAGATATCCGAGGATATGACTGAGCTGATTTTGGTCTCTTTGAATCTTAGGAGTTCGTCGAGAACAGCAAGAAGGCATTGCGCCAATTGGAGGATCGTCAACAGACGCCGACCACGTAAAAGTGCCCACGTAAATAAGCCTTTGAGTTTATCTGGCTGCCTTCCATCTGAAGACCATTGGCATCCGGATGTCCGTCTTATCACGCACACCTTGTTATACATTGCTCGATAGCGAGAAACTTTTGTACTGAACTGTCCGTGATGCTCGGATCGTGTAGGATCTGTGGGCATTCTTGACAGTGCGTTAACATGGAAACAGTTCGCTTAAGCAGCGGGTTGTTCGGCGAACAAATTATTTTAATAGAATAACGGACGCATTCCTGTTCGTATTTCTTATTCAATGTAAACTGGACTATTATCTGTTCGGTAATAATGAATTGTAGGAAGGATCGAAATCTCGCTTAACGTTAAGAGTTACATTCCAATAATCACTATGAAGACTGTTCATGATCTTGAGTAACGTGTTAATATTTTTTTACCTGCGGTTGTGTATCTCTTTCATGAAGTAAGTGAAAAAAATAATGAATAAAAGATATAATCGCTTGGAATATTCTGCCTGTTCAAATAGCTTCGAGGATATTGATGTCATGGATTTCATTTCTTTTAGGCTTTAAGGTTCTGGCTTTATGGGTAGGTGTACATATGTCTTTCTCAATGCATTCGTACGAGTAATTTTCATTCTCAAAGGCATTCAGATTTATTCGTCTCGGTCACACAGAATCATTGCAAAATTGCGTATTATTATACACCGGTACCTTAAATACTTGGTAATTTACGTGAGTTCATTTTACCCAGATCGACAGCAAGGACGATCAAACGTAGATACCCTGATAGCACAAGGATATCCTTCCTATTTCATCACATTGGATACAATTGGATCTGAGACATTTAAACAATTTCAAAGGTATTGCTCAACGTACGTTTTTTTTACAAGATGAATCATTCATATTAATAGAAATAACGTTAACCTCGATAAATTCAGTTTTGCCAACGACTAGCTTGCAGTGCTCGTTTCTTAATTACAAATTACATATAGTTTCATCGTCTCCTCGCTTTCTTAAGATATCTTACAGACATCTGTGCTAACAGGGTAGAGTAGCAGTATCGAAAGTTCCAAGTACTATGTATACAAAGATCATCTATATCGAACACAAAGATAATCAGCGACGTAACCATAGCGTAGACTGTCTCCCGGCAGTGCTTCTTGTCCTGACAAACTTTACTACGTATATTTTGACAGTCATAGGTCCATTTTCTTCAACGCGGTTCAATGCATAAATTCCGTTTATCTTCAAAATCAAAAGTGCCTGATTGGCTGATAACACAGTTAAACATAATTTATGCGGCGAATCGCGTCGAAGTAAACGGGCGATAAACTTGTCTTATTTTATATAGGAGACACAGAACGCAGTTACGTCACTGGACGTTCATCGACGGTTTTTCGAGGTTCACGTGTATTCTTGTTATAAATAAAAGAAAAGTTTAACGCATCGATCCCGGTGAAAGAGATGGGGAATAATTGCGGGAGGAATCGTGTGAGCTGAACTAATGGCAATGGAAAAAAAAAAAGAGGGAGTACGACAACCCAGGATTACACCATATCCGTGTTATAATAAATAAATTTTTGTATTACTCTATATAAACGTCTGGCTCGTTACATTACATGTAGATTCGTACATTTGACATAGGTACATATAAACATACTTGGACTACGCACGGGAAGTGGAATATCCTTTGAAATATATAAAATGGGTGAAAAACTGTATCATGCGTACCGAAATTCAAACGTAACGAGATTTCCTACGGTGCGACAAAGTAATCGAATAGATTCAAATTGAATCGACGTTGGAAGCTGCAGTGCTCGGACTCGATAATCCTGGATCGATCGATCGGTCGATCCTGATCGCCGAGCGGCAATCTCAATACTTAAGTATACATTCAATCCTACTCAATCACGCCTTACTATTCGATCACTGCCGTTATTAATACGTGCCATGCCACGTGCCACGGCGTGCCGTATATTCGCTTAGCAAAACTCCTCAATTACGCTGTGGTATTAGCTATTACTTATTACTATTATTTATTTTTAATATATCTATCTATATATTTGTCTATATATATATATATATATATATTCTCTATCCGACGAATTAACGTTATCGGCATTAATAAGAATAATTGATAATAATTCATCGTGACGTTCCCGAAGATGTTTCATTTTAATATATCTATCTATATATTTGTCTATATATATATATATATATATTCTCTATCCGACGAATTAACGTTATCGGCATTAATAAGAATAATTGATAATAATTCATCGTGACGTTCCCGAAGATGTTTCATGATCAAGGATAATCAATGTTTAGCGATAAGGGAAGATCGTGGATCCGTGGAGATGGACATTACGCGAAGAAAAAAAAAAATGGAGGAAGAATGATCGCGTGTAAATATACAATTAATAAGCGACAACGGAAAATAAGATTACTAATAATAACGCGTCTATTAGAACACGTAGTGATTACTCGCTAATCTCTTTGTAGTTCAATACGCGCATCGGATACGTGTTTCTTTAGCTTTTTCTTTTTTTCATTTTAAATTTCTTCAGTGCAGACGGCAATCGGTGCCATTTGAGACAGATGCTAATTGCTGTGTTTCAATGTGATTCGATTTTTCATATTATGAATGTTGCATATGTACGCAGAGGTATGTATATAACGTGTATGCGTACATTTAATTGGACTTTACAACTAGGTTTAATAATGCGCGTTATAAATACAGTCAGTCACGTACGGTTCCCGAGCAAGGCCCGTGTTTCACTGATAGTCCCAGTGCGTCGTTAGAGAAACGCGTGAGGGATAAAAACATGGCCGAAGACGGGAACGAGAACGAAAGTGGAATCGAAATCGAAACCTTTGGCTTGTCTGCTGAAAGACGGTGATGGCGGCCACCGAGTTCCCGAATGGCGGATCGATTACGAGACGCAACGATAAATTTAAATTAATTTAGTTAATACTCGCGTTCAGCTGGCATTTTTAGCATTTGGCAATTAATTTTGTTCTCTACCTCTTAAATTATGTCCATGTTACGTATAGCACTAATAGCGGTACTTTAGTCATCTTTAAAATTGAGATTCTGCGGAGACCTTTCTTTTGACCATTATATTTTATGCAACGTTCAGCTACGGCATTGACTCAGATCTCGTAAATATAATTGATCCTTCAATTGGCGAATAATCAGCAGCACGTAGCAGGAGTTCGGCCGACGCGTCGATCCGCCGGGAACGTCTTTACATATCTCGCTAGACGATATGCCTAATCGTGAATTGAACGTTCATAATAACTAGGTATGCCTATGATAATAAACTCTGTAACATTTAATACAGGTTTCTTCACACGGACTAGATACACCGCCCTCGTCGTAGCGGTAACAAAGGGACGCGCACGACGACGTCCATTTATTCTCAGCTTGGCATACATGATACCTAGAGGAGAGATACTCGATCCCGGACGCATGTGGATCCTTTATGTTTCTCGATATTCAGGTACAATCGTGGGCACAGAGCATCGTGTCATCTTCCTTTTGCATTGAGAGTCCTAATGTTCAAAATTCCAATGTATCCCCGACGCTCGAGTGTCGCACACGTACAGCCGATGATTATGGTCAACAGAGGCTGCAGCACTTGGAGGCGTCGCCCAGATGAATGTGGCACACTGCGGGAAGTCCGGTGCAACCCTTACCGACGACACTGTCTTGCATCAGGTGTGCTAATCCCAAATTTTGATTGATATCTCCGTCGCTACCACGATGCTGATGCTTCACGTTGCACCACTGTTGACGATCCCGCCACTTGTCATCCGCGCAGAGTAGCATTGACTTAGGGGATGGCGGACTCACACGGTCCCTGGCTATACTTCCACACGAACGAGCTTTGTAGAGGCGACCCTTACCAAAGAGTCCGGGTAAAGGTACGCAAAGCTTCTTGTGCACAGCGAAATAGCGACTCAGCAGTCTCATCTTGCGACTCTTGCATTCATTTTTGTTTATTGGGTCGCGATTCTCACGGTCTTCGGATTGGCTGCCATTTGAACGGGGTCTTGACTTTCTTTCCTCGTCCTGAGCCTGTTGCTGCGCCTGCTCTTCCTTTCTCGGAGTCGTCGATCCAGACTTGCCACTCAAAGACCAGCTTTGCAGAAGCCTCGCACCAAAACCTTTGGCTTTTTGCACCGTGGTTACGGTATGAGATACGGTCTGAGACATCGTATTGGACACGCTGTTCGTAATGGACTGCGAAACGGTATGGGAGACCGAAGAAACACTCTGGGTGTACACTATGTTATGGTTGTGATTGTGGTAGTGACTATGAGAATGATTATGACACGGTGCTTCGGCTTCTTGGACTTCCGTTATACGATTCAGAGACTGACTCTCTCGGAGTCTCGTCTCGCCGGCTCTTCGTCTCCCAGCCCGATGTCTTCGGCCAAAGCATATTGTTTGAGTTTCGGAGCACCGTTTGCCACCGGTTGTTGTTGTTGTTGTTGTTGTGTTTGTCGTACTGCCACTGCTACCGCTGGTTCCGGTCTTCCCATTCTCTGTCCCTGTGGATGGTCCATGCGTGCACTCACTATGTCCTCGACTACCACTTCCGCCCCCGCCGCCAGTACCACCAGGATCCTGCGAATCACTCGAGTCATCGTGACTGTCTCTTCTGGGCGGTAGAGGTTTATCGGATCCACCAAATTTGTGCGCTCGCTTCTTTCTGCTTTCACTGTCATCGTCGCTGGCGTCCGAGCTCGAGCAGGACGTTGTCCGGGTCTTGTGGAATTTACTTCGTCGCTGCTCGTACCCGATTCTCCGCACGACCCGACATTTTCCTGCACCTTCCGACCCGGTCTCTGCAGTATCGCCGTCCTCAAGAATCTCGTTGAGCGCTATCTGCGGTGGCGATCCTGTATTTGGTGTTATGCTACTCGGGGATGGCATGGTCTTGTACTTGGGTTGAAGTTGACTGTCAGTCAGTGCAGTAGTTACCCGGATGGGTATAGTGACCGTCGAAGACTCCGTGAGAATAGTAGTTGTCGTCGTGGGTTCCTCTGAACATAAATCAGGGGTCAGAGACGTCGTCGTCGGCGCCACGATTGGCTCTGTGGAAGACATACTTTGATGCTTTGCTCCCATTCTCCATTTATTACTTGGCACCGGACCGGATTTAAGGCACTCAGTCACAGACTTTGGCCGACCCTCGAGATTCCCGGCTTTCCTCATCCATCCGCCAGGCTGAGCACCAAGACCGGCGTTACCCAGTCTGTTCCTGACGTTTTCATCGCAGGGACTAACCTTCGTGACACCGGATAGCTTCTCGAGACCAACTGCAGATTGTAATCTGGTACCAGCTGCCGTGTATCCTGAAGACTCTTCGTTGCTCTTCTCCTCCGGCAGCTTTATCCTTTCGTCCCGGACGGATATTACGGCGGTTACAGGACTATGAGGATGGTGATGAGCGATGTGACTGGAATGCTTCTCAGGAAGCTGTCCGAGTCTCTCCTGCAGGACGTGGGAGAGTTTACCCTCGGATCGTGATCCTCGCCGATTGAATGAGTTCAGAGCAGAGTTGCTGCCGTGGTCGTCTCTTCCAGAGCACGAGGACATGTCATCCTCGTCCTCCTCCTCCTGGACGATACTGCATTTGCGCGTTCGAGCATTCTAGGATCGAGATAAACACACACATACGCCCACACCAATCAGTCCATGTCCTTGTAATACCCACATCGCCTAATACAAAACTCTCTCAAGTAATTACCTGCGGAACATCACCGGGTGTACGCGGTACGCTAAGTAGAGACTGGTTGACACCTCCCCCCAGAGAGTTCCTATCAGCCTGCAGCTCGTTGTCCGTCAGACTGTTTTGTTGACTGAAAATTATTTTAATGTAACACACTGTTGGAATATACATATGTATACTCAATACTTGAATAAAGAAAATAAAAAATCGTCTCCGTTGCCCTCTGCCGGGGGTAAATGTGACGTCACTTTCTTTGTCTCTTTGTGAGGAAAAACTTAGATAGTAATATAGGGTCAAAAGTCTTTAGTTAGTTGTGAACAAGTTTAGAACTAAGACGTGCCTTAACGATTTGTAAAGTAATAAAAAGGTCTTATGAATTCAACAAGAAACTATTATTAACCATAACCCAATAACACGATTATTAAGATAATAACTTCGTTGACCAACTCGACTACACGAACGAAACTATACCTGGACGAGACATCAAGCAGCTCAGGGCGATTCTTCTGATCTTGTTCCTGCCTGTGCGCCCGTAGCTTCCTTTCAGCGAGTAAAAAGTACGTAGCCGTTATGTGATTGTACTCGTTCTTGTCGAGGGCGCTATGGAAAAAGGAATAAGATTAGAGAGCGTCCAAGCGTGTAACTCCATGAAGAAAAAAAAAAGAGGGAGAAGAAAAAGAATATGGTCACTCATCGTTCTCCCGCAGCTTTGCGTCCTGCTTGATTATAGGACATAGAACGTATACAGAGTCCACCACGTCATAAAGATATCCTTCAGAGGATATCGATTTATTTTCTTACTTCCTGATAGCCATTGACCTTATTTTAGGAACACTCAATCTTAGAACCAACTAGATCTTTAACATCTCTCTCTCTCTCTCTTTGCTTCTAACTTGGACTTCCCTCTCTGAAGGACATCCAGATGATCCGACACACCCTATATATATGAGCGCAGTGAACATTTACTTACTCAAGTATCTCTTCCTTGGTGGCTATGCTACCATTCACCATCTTCGTAATGATCAGGTTATGATGTTCCTCGGACACCTGTTGCCTAGAAACAAGTGGTAACGCTTCCACAGGATCAGAGTCTGATCCAATGGCTAACCAAGAATCTGCAGCGATTTCTTCAAGCGTTGCTCTGCCCTCGGGCTTCCTGACGAGCATGCTTGCGATCAATCGTTTACATCCATCAGAGACATGAGCAGGAATGGAATACTTGCAGTCCATGATCATTGTCAATGTTTCGCTATCATTAGCCTCCTGGAATGGAGCTTGACCGCAGACCAGCATATAAAGGATCACACCCAAGGACCAGACATCTACGTTGAGAAAGATTACTTAAGAAATTTCAAAACTGGACAACAGATAAAATATTGAATAGAAGTAAAAATATCTAACCGACAGCCGGGGCATCGTAACTGTCACCGAGAAGAATCTCAGGAGCAGAATAGGCCAGGGACCCGCAGGAAGTCTCCAGTTTTTGACCGGGACAGAATCTATTGCTAAATCCAAAGTCGGTGAGTTTGACTGTGCCAAGTTTTTCAAAGAAGACGACATTCTCTGGCTTGAGGTCTCGGTGCACCACGTGTAATCGATGGCAGTACGATATCGCCCTGACGATTTGACGAAAATACGTTCTGGCCACCTGCAGAAGATAAGATATCGCATATGAGTCTCCCACGTGGTTTTATCATGGATATGCCGAAAAGTGGCAAAAAATAATATGTCGTTATGTCAAACCTCTTCGCTGAGACCGCTGTCGTGGCGCATTATGTAATCGTAGAGGTCGCCACCGTCGCCAAGCTCAAGGATCAGATAGAGCTTCGTTTGCGTGTCTATGACTTCGTAGAGTCTCACCACGTTAGGATGCTGAACCAGTTTCATGCACCTGACCTCTTGAAACAGATGAGCCCGCGAGATCTCATCGAGTTTGTTCTTGTCGATGACTTTCACGGCAACCTTCTCCCCGGTGAAGACGTGCCTGGCCAGTTTTACCACGGCGAAGTGTCCACGTCCGAGTGTCTCTTCGAGGTCGTAGAGACCAGCGATCTTCCCGTCGTACTTTCCATCGTAGTTGTGTCCCAGTCTCCGATGCATCGCGTTGCTGAAAATTCAAATGTCACTTTTTTTAGAATTTACGTTTTTCACTGTCACCCTGCGAAGCTGAGCCAGCTGGAATTATGAAAATTGGAGGACGTACGAGATGATCGAGGGTTATCGAAAAGTCCCGAGCGTGGTGCCAGAGACAGAAGGAAAGCAGAGAGGAAAAAAATATCGTCGCTCGTGAAGTCAATAGAAATTTAAAAAACAAACAAAAATGTATACGCGGTTAAGAGTGATGACGCTTGATGACGTGCGAAATAGCAAGGTAAATCAGTCGGCTCGCATGTGGTGCGCTTGGATGACCTCAAACCGATGACGTCCGGGACGACCGAGTTTTGCCGACGGGACTAAGGCAAGAATAGAATATTGGTGGCGGTGAATGTGCCGCCGGACCTGGACACCGTTTCCACGACGTCATCATTTATTCGCCGTCGGAATTTGTCTGCCTCGTAAATCATGAATCCTTAGTAGAAAATAGTTCGGCCTCATCGCCGTGTCTGATCCATTTCAGGATGACGGAAACAGGTTTGCATTCCGAGTAGCCACACGAAAACAGCTTTCGTGCATTCGAGTTACTATCTGTTACACAGTGACCGATCCGGCGGCATTCCAATCTCCGAATTCGTTCAGCACCTTCCGGCACGCTTCCTCTGCAATGTCTTTTACGAGGAAGGACAATTTCTAATTTTACCGACACGCCCTCTATATTTAGCCAATCCATACCCCCCCACGAGTTCAGATGAATTTTAGCATCCCTTGACATCCCAACCGGACATCAACCTGTCCTTAGAAAATGACTCATCAAGAGCCAAGAAAATTCTTCGCTTAATATAAAATAATATTAAGACGAGAAAATTCCTTCAAATTGAGCTATCACTTTTTTTTTAATTCCCAGGGTTAGATAAAATAAGCAGATTTGTGTTGTCCGAACGTAGCCGAGGCAACGTCGACCTAGAAAACATAATACCGAGTCAAGCATCGAAATCAATTGAAACTCCAAATGCCCAGATTCGTATCACGTGTTCTGAAGGAGATCACGATTATTTTGGACATTGAGTGGAAGCCAATTAATACCATCGTAGAGAATTGTAGAATCGACAGAAAAAAGAAAATATTCGTATTATCGTGAAAATCAAGTATTCCAGTAATTGAAAGCTTCCTTCCGCAAATTTAACAGCTCTCTCTACTTTCCAATATGAATTCCGATTCCATCGTATCAAGATAAAGTACTGGCAGACGAAACATGTGGAATCTGGTGGATGTGGACTTCGCTGTCCCGTAACACTCGGCCACTATTTTTGCTCGTACCTACCTCTAGAGTCTTGTTGGTCAGATACAGAAATACTACTTGGATCGGAATGCAGTACGCATTGAACATTTAAAAGAGAGTTTCACTCAATGGTTAAATAATCCAAGACTCCCAACTATCTATAGAAATAGTCTCTGGTAAAGAGCCTATAACACAAGCCATTCCTTGTCTTCCAGTACAGATGCCAAAATAACGTTTCAAACTCATTTGATGGAAATTAACCGAAATGTATATATCGAATGAAAAGGTCGAATCTCGTGTACGATAAGGTAAGGGTAATATTGCGTAATTATTTTATCGCTAGTAATTTTGATATTGATAATCCTAAGCCAAATTGATGAGATTTATCAATGGTGCTTATCCGAAGCGAGAGATTTTCCTACGGTACGAGCATCGAATACGTCAACGATGCAAGACTCGAGTTTTGACGTGACTTTCGTAGGAGGAACGAGTGTTTAAAATTTATTATGTCAGTCGTTGAAAAGTAACTGTATCCCTTAGGCAAAGTAACTGTGGCTGCATAAAGTTTTTGGGGTTGTAAAAGGAGGAGCGTCCAGGTAGACCTTATTTGCCATTGCTGATGTTGCTTTGAATCGAGCAGTACGGATTAACTGTATAACGCGTTAGGTAGGTAAATTGGATTTGGATATCTGGTGTACCAAAACGTTAGGTTAATCCGGGTGTCAAGGTACAAGATCCACGTAGCGTGGAACAGAAGATAATCTGGCCTAATTTTATTAGCGAATGGATTACCGTTCTACATTGATAATCTGCAGGATATACATTTTATTAAAAGTACGTAACTTTCTTTTAAATACAAAATTAAAGTCTAGAAGTTTCGAAATCTCGTTAAAAGTCGTTACAGTAACGCGTAGCCACTCCCCGCCGCGACGACATGCTTCAAAATGCGCAGAACGTCAACTGGTACGTCTGACAGGAACGAAGGATTAATTCCTTTTGAAAACTCCGGGTGAAATATTCGTGAGACACTGTTGCACGCTATACTACGATATACTGGGTCATTCATTGAAAAATTCTCAAAATGTAATCAGTAACGTTTGACCTTGGCCCAATTTGAATAATCGTAATGGAAAAATTGGCCATTAAATTGAACAAACAAAACCATAAGAAAAGACAAATTCTTCATTAATTACTTTCGTTATCATTCAAGAACAATATACCTAAAGAGCCAAGGTTATAGCATTTATTAATTTTTCAAAAGTTTAAGCCACTGCAATGGACTTTCCTAAGGAAAGTCATAGGAATACTAAATTTAGACACCTCAGACTGTAAGTTTCTTCCACGGTTACGAAAATCAGTTGCAAGAGTGGTTAGGGCAAAAAATAAAGAAACATTGCCAAGTAGTATTTAACTTACATCATTAAAATTTTAGTAGTCGGCTTGCCGAATCAACAAAATATAGGTATTACGTATGATGTATGACATTAGGAAAGAAACGCAAGTCCTCGTATTCCATAATAACAAGAGTCACGACGATACGTATAGGCGTGCGAAGGTATGTAAATGGCGAAGAAGCCAGACAGAGGGATAGGTCGCGACAAGACGTAAACGAAGCTTTGAGTTAAGGTCGTTGAGCGATTCCGTGAGCGTGTAAAATGTAGCGATATGAGCGATACGAGTGAATGTCATTTATTGGCAGTTAGCTCCTTCCTCGTTACGGTAACCGTGTCCAGATTGGGAGTCCACGACACGAAAGGGGCGTCGAATAGGATGGATGCACCGATAAATTCCTCTATACTTTTATGAAGTAAAAGAGTGGAGTGTATATTGGTGAAGGCGTAACGTCGTTCGAATGGACTACAAAAGAATATTCTCAGAATGAACTAAGAGTAGTAGAGACTGACAAGTATGCAGAGACGGAAGCCATTTTTTTCATTGGTTATGGGAGCCGAGGAAGGTTGATTATTCAGTTTTTTTTTCCTACCTTTTCCGTTAGAGCGTCAATAACAGGCTGATGCCGAGTTTTTTAATTCCTTGCACCGTCATTTGTAGTAGCCAGACATATTTTGTTTAGCGTCTATTCAAAGAGAACACACTGTTTTACGCTTATTTTGTATCACGTTATGCTTCCCTTTCAGGAATACTTGACAAGACTTCTCTTCTTCCTCTTGTTTACTCGACGAGATCTGACAATTTTGCTTTCTTTATAGTTTTTCCCGAGTACCGTACGCGTGTCAAACGAATGATGGGTCGACCAACTAGCACTATCTCCTCGAGGAATCGTTCTCGAACGTCTACAAAGTAGCGTGCGTCTTCCAGTACGATTTACCACGGTATACACACCCCGACATGTTTACACGGCAGACGGCACCGTTTACTCTCATCCACACAGGAAGCTGACTGGAGGTAGGGGCAGGGGCAGGGTAAGAGAAACAGAGACCTCTCACGTTAGAGAACTCGTATGTCTTTTCAGTCGATCAGTTTGATGGAACCGACCATATTCTCTCCTGTCGACTCGAGTACACAGTACGTGTATCTCCGTATTGGGATATATGTATTCGTTTTAGCCACTTCTGGAGTTCGGATGAAGTCCGGCGTGTCCGGACTTCAGACTTTCTGGCAGGTCATACACTGCCTTCCTCGAGTACCACCACCACTTCCTTCTGTGAGCTTCTCGACCTCCTCCAATGCTTCTTCTGACTCCTCGTGCCCCTCTATGTCGCTGAATGCTCCCACGATTCTCACACACTGAGAGAGGAAAACGAGGCTCTCTACCTTTATTCGTTACTCACAAATCTTCGCAATTCCACTGTGGCTTCTGGCTGGCTGGCACGCACGTTCCCGGGTTTCATGGGCCCCTTGCTTCTCCCAAGGGAATTATATTTTAACCGATTAGATAAGACGAGAATGAGTTGCGGACAAGTTCGCGACGGTGACACGAGAAAGCTGAGAGGAGCCCGGATATTCGAGAGCGGTCTTGCTCTTCGTCCTTTTGTTCGTCAGACACTGGCGACATCTGTCGCTGATGTTTGATAAAATAGATGAGAAGCGCGTAGTTACGAACATTCTAGTATCTGGCTAGAATGCCCACGTGTGGGCCGATGGAGCGTAAAATTATAGATTAGAGTGATTAATTAAATAATCGGAATTCTTTTGATCAGTCCGTAGGATCAGAATGATTATCAGTATTTTATTTATGATCTATTGAACTTTGTTTTGTAAGATTTCACCAGCGTTGCATGTGGCGCCATCGGACGGGACGTCGTTGAAACTTGTAGTAAGATTCCTGTTGGTAAGAATTTGGCTGACACATACAGCGCCAGGGTGAGTCATTTGTTTAACTAAATGATGCTTAGTGAATTATTCCTTTTAGAATATTCATGACAATAAAAATGGTTTTAATCATACTTCTAAGTATGTCATTAATTGCGAATAAATCTTTGATATTAATTAACGGTGTGTCTTCCGAAAATGATATCATTAGGGTATTCACTCAGCCGGTCATGATGTATACTGACGGATGATAATATCCCCATCTACCTGCGAATTTACGACTTCCTTGCCGATATTCACTGTGTACATACAGCGTAAAGAAACACGTGCTAGTCTAATATTACAATATCGTAGCTGCCAAGTCTGTCTGCCTTGAAATTACGGAATTTCAAGCTCTTCGGTACGAGATACGAGTATTTGAATGTGAGTATGGAGATTCGACAGTCATGTCTGAAATATACGATCTCGGTACGGAAGTTTAATATACATATATCTCAGTTAAATGATCGTTTTCGTTCTTTAGACGTTGCCCGAGTGTTACGGTTCTCGTCCAAGGTGAAGCAAATAAATTATTTTGATAGGTTTACGGGCACTGCGAAAATAACGCGTTCATTTCACGAGCACCAAGTGAAATGACGGATTCGTGTAAATTGCGCTTGAAAATCTCAGGATCGCTAATGGTAACCTCTGACTTTGAAGGCATGTCAAAATTATCATTAATTTAATTTAAATTTATTCCTTTGACTTGACTGGAGACGCAATTGTTTCACATCATGAAATCCTACAAGCACACTCGACTAGCTATTGCAAAATAATCGATTGTGGAATCGCACTCGTCGTTATTCATGATGGCATCCATAGAAAATACTAACAAAGAGATCGTCACAGTGACTACACCGAGTCTCTTAAGATAAAGGTAAACGTACTTAATGACCTCGTACTTGACCTCAAATACCGAAAAAGAAAGAAGAGTCGCGCACTGAGAGAGTCTCTGGCAAAAATCATGCCCTCCTCCTATCCCCATTTCCCGTTTTAACTTTAACTTCCGCTTACAGAAATCTTAACTGGGATCATCATAAGCGTTTGACGCTCCTGTTCTGCGAATTGAGGGTAGACAATTTTCATGGATCTAAGTCCGTCTCTCTGTGCTTTCAGCTCGGAAACTTTTCAGGGACGTGTCTGAAACTTTAGGCACCCTAAAAATGATTGTGCCTCTCTTTTTCGAAAATATTCATTTTTCACCAAGTCAACTGAGAAAGAATAATGACTTTAGAGAGTATACGAGTGTAATATAGATAATCAATGATCTATAAATAGAAAAAGGATCAGACACGTGGAATTGATACTCTGCCAAAAAACAGCTCATGCATCGTATAATCCAATTGGATTGATACAATGCAATTAATAAGTCATTGGCTGAGAGTGAGGAAACGTAGATGATATCCAAGAGGAGAATATTGAAATTACTCGTGGAGGAGTCCATCTTACGTGGTTGGGCCATCGTTGACGTCGACGTCGACGGAGCAACTCGGCCAAGCCGGCCCGACGCCAAAATCAGCTCAGTCGCTTTCCGGTCGGTGTTTTATAAATACTGCAGACAGCCGCGAGTGCACCGAACACCAAATCCTCGTGAAATACTGATATCCGTTCGTTGAGGAACGTGATAGGAGCTGAGACCAGGAATACAGTGGATACAGTGAAACTGTTGATATTCAACATTTTTAAAACCACCAGCTTAACATGGGATGAAATACCAGATGATGTCACCCAATTTTTTTTGAGACTCCTATGAACATCTTTCAAAGAAAAAAAGAATAATTGTGAGTTCACTATGAGATTATAGTTGGTTTTGTAAATTATAATTATTGTCAGTTTAAAGAGTTTGATAATAAGATTCCATCAAAGAATTCTATAGCCGGCGCCACTTTTGAAAACAAAGGCTATAATATCACAGTGTGTTGCAATTCTTTGGCAAATGACTTATGCATAAGTCTGTATCCTCGTGATACATAGTTTTATTGCGCAATGAGATTCGAGGGTGCCGTAAAAATATACCCTGATCCATGACAAAGTCCTCCAACTGACGGTCGCCTATAATGTCGGATCGAACGCGCATTTCATTTCATCTCTGAAATGGAACTCTCCATTGCAGAAATACGTCTTATATGTCTCACATGGTTATATATAGAAAGAGTAGACTCTCATGATTCTCCAGTATTCGGAAATACTGTTCCTCAGATATTTTACTCGGTTACATTTCTTCTTCTTGCATGCGCGTGATTCCCACGTGGACAGTTCGCCCACGTTTTGTCTGGATATTTGAAGTAAAAAAGAAAAAAACTATTTTTCCTCCGGAATCAGTCACTCTAATTTATTTTTTAAGCATGTACAAATATCAATGATAAAAGCGAATCGTAAATTTAAACGAAGCAAAAATTAAAAGCGAGAGCTTTGAACTATCAATCGTCTACTGGAATTATGAATTTGGCTCTCTCGATGATTCATGCGAATATACTAGACTACACGTGTAACCAATACCGAGTGAAGCTCAGTAATCTGTCTTTCTCTCTCTTCATATATCTCTCACAAGGATCTCTCTTCTCTTGTGAACCAGGATTGTTGCAGCTGTCTGAGAATTTCCACCGTTGAATTCTTGGGCGAATCGAGGGTTCGCGGCTTGGCCAGAAGCCAGTGATATCAGACACAACTGATATTGCAAAAAAGGATGCTACATTTTTCATGTACCAAGGATCAAGGATCGACCAACAGGACCAACTGACACCTCATTACATGCAAGAGGAGCTTTGATACAACATTGAATCTTGAACCTGTACAACAACATGAACAATTTCCTGGCTGATTTTGATTGGAATTTCATTAACTGAAGGAAAGCAGAAGAATGAGTTTAACCAAGAAAGCAATAGGTGGTTCAATCCACAGGATACGTGAATTCGAATTGGAGAAGGTAAAATCGTCGTTCCTTTTAAAAGTAAATACAAAATAATATAGTAAAATCTAAAAATAATAATTTCCAGTGTCTCAAACGTACATAAGGATTTGCGCAAATGTACAAACATAAAAGATTCATTCGACACAGTGACTTGACTCAATATCCAGAAATAGTCAAACTACTGTCTAATGGCATTTACAGAATGGAATTTACGAACTTGCTTTTCCTGCCAACAGAATCCAACTGTCTCATCTGAGGTCCCTCGATGCTGACAAAAGTCATGTAAAAAATTACACCGTCACTTTCGTCAAGTGAAAATTATTCTTTAACATTATTTAATAGCAAAGCGACTTCAGCCAATAGAGAAAGCAGATCGCAGAGTAGAGTGAAACATTTTCGAATCTGTTTTCTTACTTTCGACAGCAGCTCCTGTATAGGCAGCTTGGCCTCACAAAAATAGTCTGGTAGCTCGCGCTTCCGCGGTCCATTATAAGATCGTCAGCAGCCGGCATATTGAATGCGCCCCGACTTACTCTTTACCGAGATATTTACTGACTCACTGTACTTACTTGCTCTTCTTATTCATTCAGGTGAACCTTGCCGATGAGTTCGACATCCTGCAAATCGTGGGCGAGGGATGGTTCGGCAAGATACTATTGACTGAGCATCGCAGCACGCAGACGGAGATGGTACTGAAAGCACTGCCTAAGGCATATACAGGAATTTCGGATTTCTTTCGGGAATTTCATTACGGTCTTCATTTGTCAGCGCATCGTAATATCATAACGACATACGACGTAGCTTTCGAGACTGCAGGGTTCTACGTCTTTAGTCAGGAATACGCACCCTTGGGTAAAACCCTTTTTTTATCGAGAGAAACATTTGATTTTTATCGTAGCTATTGTGTTTGTATATGATCTTTTTAGGCGATCTGACTTCGAATGTCACTGAAACTGGTCTCGGCGAATTGCACGCGAAGAGAGTAGCCAGGCAATTGGCTGCGGCTGTTCAACATATACACAGTAGAGAACTGGTACACAGGGATATCAAGTTGGATAATATATTAGTGTTTAAGAGTGATTTTTCAAGGATCAAATTGTGCGACTTTGGAGAGACTAGAAGAGTCAATACTGTTGTCAGGAGACACAATGAGTGGTTGCCGTATTCGCCGCCTGAAGTATTGCAGATCGATACAGATGAGACTTACAAGTACGTCTACGACGAAGAAGTTTATTTTATAGTTTATGATAATAATAGATACGCTGTATAATGAGATTTATCAATCCGCCAGGGCACTCACTGCACACGATGTCTGGCAATTTGGAATCGTGCTATTCGTGTGTCTGACGGGTTGTTTGCCATGGCAGAAAGCTGCTTCCGATGACCCCAGGTACACCAGGTATCAAAATTGGCACTCGGCTACGTTAAATATCGCCAAGAAGCCAAAGCTCTTTCAACTAATCAGTTCCCGCGCCCAGAGGTATCCTCTTGATATTTTCATTCTCAATTGGATATGACATAGGTTCATGAACGTTGGATAATCCACGTGGTATTTTTAGGATGTTCAAAAGACTACTTGACCCCAGGATTGAGAAGAGACCCACAACAGTGTTTGAAGTGAATAAATACTTGGAGGATAGGTGGTTGGCAAAATTGGGAGCCGAGAAAGCACTGAATGGTATTACATGAATTGCCAATGAATAAATAAGCCTAGAAGCGTTCGAATGAGCAGAATAAAAATTTGAATATTTCAGGTGGCGTCGATGAAAGAGATGAACTCTGCCCATCCATGTACAGCTTTCACAGTTCATTAGAGGAGAAGAATCAGCTTCTCTTCACTCTAACGCAATACGGCATCGAGACTACAGTGGACAGATCGAAGAAGAAGGATCGAATCAGAGAGTGGATCCAGTCCAGCGCGATAATAGAGGAGAACGAGGAAGAGTCTGATTCGGAGTTGCACGAGGATGATGAAGAAGTCAATATGAAAGGGAAGCACTTCCCAGAAAGGCGAGAAAGTTCAAGAGTGACAAATAAGAAGGAAGAGAGCAGGAATCGCGGCGATGAGCGTCGAACGAAGACGGATGTCAAACCAGCTGCTACTAAGCCCACAGAGAGAAGGAATCCATTTGCTCCTCAAGTAGCACAGGAGCGTCAAGTTGTGGCGCAGTACGCAAGTTTTCCAAACGGCGACCCCAACTTGGCGTTTAAGCCTAACGGCGTGCCTGCTAAAGAAACAATATCCAACGAGGAGTATCCGGTGGGTGATGTCTATGATCATTACGCCAATAGAAGAACGGGACAAAGTAAGGTTGTTCCAGAAGTATCAAGAGAGAGTCCCAGTAATGACACCCCAAGGGAATATCGTTCAAAGATCATCAAGAGCGACTCGATCGAGACCAATGACAGTTCCAAGAATGGTCAGGGCACAAACTCTTCAGGAAACAGTGCCAGCACTTCTGTGGATGGTTCAGTGGCGCTCACGAACTTGAGTCCCAATACGTCTACAGCAAATAGTTACGTCTCTGACGTCGTTGCGCTGTCAAGTAATTCAAATGACACTTTGGAAGAGTCTCCGGTCGAGACGCGAAGTCCTCAGGCTCCAACGAGGAAGCATCGTTCTCACACGGCGCCATTTCCTAGTGCAAACGTCACAGGGACTTCGAGTAAGTTGGTTCCTGCAAAACGGAGTCAAAGTGCTAAATTACCATCTATCAGACCAACGGTACCGGTACAGTCCATGAATCCACTTACAATGTCAGTGGCGTCGCAATTAGTAATGCAGAGTTTCAATTCGTTGCAAGCGATGAACGTCGCTCTGCCAAATTTCACAAACCAGAAGGAGGACGTCGATAAAGCTTCCCCGGCTACGACGGCGACTTATGGGAAAGACGCCTATGAGCATTACGGTATAGCTCAGGGTGTCGTTATAAAAATGGAAGCGAAGCACAGAGGATCCACCGGAAGCGGAAGCAGATCGGCCAGTAATTGAACAGACTTGAAGGTCCTACATACCATTGAGAACCGATCGTGCGAACGGGGGACCAGAACCTTAACTCGGTGGACGTCAACGACAGACTGATATTAACGTGTGAACGCGAATCGGGATTTTCTTCCTTAAAACTGTATTCGTATTATTCGTGTGAACACTTTGAAGTAAAGCTTTTAAAAGAAAAACAAAAAATCGCCACCAGTTCATTACTCTCGACCTACAAGATTTCCAAGGAATTCCTAGATGGCACCAAAAGCTCAAATGCACTGTCGTTAACGTGAACCGCATTGTTACAGCACTGGGAAAGTCCTCAGCGGCCGCTCTGCGTTATCATCCGTACCGAAAGTCGGTACAAGTTTATCGAAAAGTCCAAAAGATTCCACTGACAATGAGTTTCAGACGATAGAATCGAGCCTGGAGAAAGCATCGGCATTGCCTTCGGAAAGATGAAGTAAGGAAAGGTCGTTTAAGCGAAGCAAAACAAGGTTCTGCAGAATGAAAAGGCGAACGTGCGTGCACGCGAATGTCGCGTGAGTGACGTATAAACTGTGGTAAGCGCCTTTCAATTTTCTCCACGTTTTTTTACTTTCTTGCATCGTCCAGTGTCTCGCCTTCTTAGCTATAATTTCCATCCACACTGCATCCGGTCTCCTTATTGAAATCAGTCGCTATCCTTTTTCCTCCATCTCAAGTAAACCCAATTTAAAATTTGTTTTTCCTCTCACTCCATGTAGGTATCTCATCTTTACACGTTCTTGGATTTATTGAACCTTGTCATCCCCATGACGACTACTGATAATTATCCAGAGCACGAGCACTCGTGGCGCAAATAGCCGATATGGAAATAATTACCGCGAGAGGAAGAATATGAATTAATTAGTGGCACTCGTGTGTGTACGTGCACGCGCTCGAGATACGCGATGGCGAAGGCAAACGCAATTATAATGTCTTTGACTCGCAGCAAGAGAGTCTGACAGATAGGAGAGTGTCACTTGGCGATAGACTTTGACACCGCGTCGAGCTTCAGATACGACTAAGAATAACAGCGGATTCTCTCGAGCGTCGAGTCGCCACTTGGCTCGTTCTTAAATCCAAAAAAGAATCAATGATTAACGTAGTACAGTATGAACAAAAATTCGACAAGCTCTGCGATACATTGACCCATAATAGAATATCGATACTGGTTCTATATCAAATTCAGAGGTAGTTTCAAAAGTGTCGGTAGATTGTGCAAAAAGTACTCTTGGCGATACGTGTATGGGATCGATAAAGCTTCGCTTACTAAAGTGACACACTGTATACAGAAATTGATTAACGAGCATGTTACGTACGACGAGGAATTTTATGCGGATTAGGGTAGCCTAAATTCTTCTCCGGATACTGTATCCCATAGTTATATGTATACATACCCATATGGGATTATGTCAGTATAAAAACATATGTACATACCTATGACTATGCAGAACATATAGGGATTACATATGGTATACATCGTGTTCCGAATGTACCGAAATACTGATGGATATTAATGAAGAAATAATTGGTTTTAATAGTCCTCGGTGCTACTTCCCATTTAAGGCCAGTCAAACTTCTGCATCCTCGTTAGGTGGGCACAGCATCAATTTTAGGCTCCCTCGATTCAAATCGATAGATCTATAACTGCGCAGATCCTTCAATCCCTGCGAGCTAAGTTTCTTCCACTCGTCATCTTCGTCTCATTATCCACGTGGCGTAAGGCGGTACAATGCGATAGGAGCAACCGGTCGGCTCTGACGTGTCGTAGGTGCTGCCTGTAAACCGGCCGTGAGCTGCCTATAGTCACGGAGCAAGAGGGACTCGCGTCACTTCGTAATGCGTTTGCGCTGTTACCAGATAGATAGAGGAGCAAGTAATCCTGGCCTATCTTATGGATGACTAATGATCCAAACTCGAGGGAGGTGTTGGTCCATCTGTCGGTGAATATCTTACAAGGGATAGGAGCCGCCTCGAGTAACGGTCCAAACGGATGCTGCGATGATTTATCGTTATTGTGCAATGAGTACAGATTATCGGGGAAGCATTGTGTACTTTGGAATCAGGTTGATAAAATTTTATTCTTAATTGCGAAGGCAGTATGAGAAGGGGGTTCTGGACGCAGATTCCTGCACCGGCATTTACCGACACTTCGAGAGCCTCGAAGGTTCGCGTCCGTGCTAAATCTACGTCGTGGGCTTCCCTTGTTATACTACTTGTCAGGGGCTGAAGCGCTGCTTATTATTATTGAAAGTGTCTGTTGTTGTTTTTATGTACGATATATCTAGAGCATGCAGGGAGGATCGATTGACTTTTTCACTAGAACCAAACTGCCTTCCGTATTCCGTTAGATTTCGTAGATGCATACAGTGGCACTCGTCCTGTAGCGATGCTGAATTTCAAATTTAGCCAGGGGCACGCGCTGCATAACGGTCGAAGGTGGCTGCATGCAGATGCAGTTGCCTTGCTGAATAATAGCCAGCCGAGGGGAAGAAGTGGGCGGCGTTCTCTTCCTTGCTGTGATAAAACGTATGCGGACATTAGCATTTAGCAATTAGTACGTAGTCGGAGAATTCGCCGTGTTGAAACGAAGTGAAGCTTTCGCGATTCTTGCTGCTCTGCTGTTTTAACCTTTTTTATTCTTTTTTTTTTTACTTTTTATTCAACCACTCTTCGCCTCTCGTAGATTCATACGTGAAAATTCATGTCTCTACTTCGTTGATTACGTCTCTATTATGTATTCAACATATTCGATGTATGGAGTTACGAGGAATTTTTTATGAGACCTGAACTTTGCTGAACTTTTTAATATTTTACTTGTATAGGTTGGCATGGTCGTAAGTCACTTTCGTAATTGTTATTTAAGGGTTAATGAATGTTTATAGAGATTTTATAATTATTATGAATTCTTTATTGAATTCTGTATTATTTGTTATTTCAAGCGTCTGTATTTAAATATACAGTTGTTCAGTGTATTTTGTGATTTTCTGCTCTCGTTTAGAAACTATTGACGTTTTCAGACGTTACTACTCTGTGTTAAATAGCGGGAGGTTGTAAGATGCTGATTGAGTATCCGAACAGATCAGGGCTGGAAGTCGCTGGGTCACAACTTTCTGAACTGTTTACAAATTCTTTGAGCCGACCGTAACGCCGCACGACTTCCGTGTCTTTCCGATCTATTTTAACGGCCATTTAGGGCCTTTCCGTTCCGACCCTATTGGCTGCGAATGAGCTTCGAGAACCAACGGAAGGACTGACGCGTCAGATACTCTACTCTCTGTGTTCCGTCTTCGTCTCTCTTGAGTGGCTTTTCAATAGTTTCTCTCCTTGTCACTCCGTGTCTTCCTGTCGAGCATTAACCGGGTATTGGGTTACCCCGTTCTCTGTTTGTTCAGGGATACCAGGAGGAACCATCTCCCAACCTTCGACTTTTGACTGTATGACGCGTCCGAAAGGTTACTTGCGGAATGCGGACTGAAGAGACACAGGGTATACAGGCACGTGACGTTTCCCTTGACGGAACAGTGCAAATCAGAAATATTGGTAGACTGATATTTTCTTTCTTCAAGTAAATTCTCAAGCGCCCTCAGACGTCACAATTTTCGAAATACCCCAATCGATTCCTGGTATCGAGAATCGATTTAGGTTCGATTCCTATTGGATTTTATCCGTAAATAGAACAGCGCGGATACCACGTGCGCCGTGTCCCAGGACTGGCACACGTCCTTATTTGTCCAGGGGTTGGGACGTATTAATGGGTAGATGGGGTTCGCTAGGTCTGCCTTAGGGGTTGTTTTCTCTGGGTAGCGGAAACAGATCTTGAGACGGTGCATGCACGGCTAATAGTCACCTAGTGTGACGTATCATCCCTCAGGCATCTTGACGCAAGTGAACCGAAAAATCTCGACAGTCCCATTAGCAAATAACGAAACGGTGAAATCTTTTGTTAAATTCTCTAAAATTTCAGAAACTACAGATTCTCGGAAAGTTATTGGAATTTTTATCGCTCTCGAGTATTTTTCCCTATAAGTGCATTCCGAGCGGGGACTACATAGCGCATATGCACAGTATGCCTTATCCGTGTCTACATACGTCTCCCTGCCGAACACCCTGTTAACCTCACTGCTTGAAATTCTACAGTGAAATACCAACCAGCGTGGAAGCCGTCACGGAATTCCTAACCGCGCAGTCGTAGCTATATACCAATTGGTTTTTGATTCGTCGATCAATTGTCTTCGATATCGAGAGTATTCAAGGAAAATGCTGCTGCGCGACAAAAGGGCAGAACTGAAATCGTCGGGTGTTGAAAGTTTTTTTTTTTTTTTTTTTATTAAAAAAGAAAACTTGAAAAAATATTTTTCAATTTCCTTAACGCGTACGTCAGAATAACGTCCCAACGAAGACTTTGAACTTCTATGAAAGACATAGCGTATCCTTATTGAATCTGAGAACGTAATATTTCGCGAATCGTCACTTTCGATAAAAACATGACAAAGATAATTTCCTGGCAATTCGAGTAAAAACAGCGCGAGACGGGAACTTCCGCGTGAAATACGTATCTCGCGGGACGCCGTAGGATGGCGTTAGGAGGACGGAGGAAAAGTTGGGGTTTACCCAGGGAGGGAAGGATGGATCTTGTCGAAGAGGATGACTTCCGGAATGAACCGGATATCCGGAGCGACGTTTCGAAGATCTTCAGACACGGTAATCGGCGTACCGAACGAATGAGGTTAGGATTTTATTTGTACAGTGAGAATGAACTTTTCAAAGTCCGATTCTGACGTCGCGACGCCATAGACGTCGTTCTCGTCGAGCGACGGCGAATGGAAATCTCTCAGCAATAAAATTCAATCTCAGGACGGTGTTATGTCTTCGTGGTCCGCAGGGCCTGTTTTACGATTATCGGGGTGCCACCCTCGACGTTTACTCCCCTTTATGTTCTCTCTCTCTCTCTCTCTCTCACGTTCTTCGTTCCTCAGTCTTTGCATTGGTGCGCGTGCCGACATCCGCGAAATCCGAAACCTCCAACACGTTCCAGAGAATTAATTGGAATATTACCGATACCAGAGGTTGGCTGTGACCCAACGAATGGTTCGATTCCAGCACGATCCTCTCGTAAAGTCGACTGCGCATGCGCGCCTCGTCCGCAGTAATAAACGTACAAGCACCAGGTACCTTTATCGTTCCCCTTATTAAAATGACCCCCTTTCATTCGTGTTCCACGATAGTTTCTATGCAAGTACGTAGTACAGCGCGTGCTTTGGCTGGCTTTCTTTCAAACGAGCATTCGGACGACGCCATCGCGAGTCACCGTTCACGAAACGAATATTAATCTCGTAAATCGATATCAAAAATCCAAGAGAAAAAGAATCGTACAATGTTACTCCTTAAAGGAAAAAAAAAAAAAAAAAAAAAAAATTGCACAACCTGCAGCACACAGCCTGAGGGACTGCAGGAGCCGAGAGAAAACGAAGCGTCAGGTTACTCGCTGACATTTCACTCCCCGAACTC